ATTAACTTAATATAATACTAATAATAAAAAGATTTATTAATCATATCTATAAATTATTTTGCAATCATATAGCGTAATGATAAATAAAATTAACCATACTTATAATAAACTAAATATTTATTAAATGCTGCATTTATCAACTTTTTTATTTTACATTTTTAAATATGTTTTATCTATTAGCTATTCACGGATGAAGCTAAAAAGGTGTTTATATTTTTGGAGTTCACGAGGGACAGGGATCCATGCAATAAGCTTGCTGAAATATTGACCGAGTCGGGGCAATCGGGTGCCGCCCAACAGCTCCGGGAGTATAATAGGTCGGAACAGCCCATGGCCTACCAAGATCAAATTAACTTGGATGTTAACCGGGCTATTATTTTGCGCTCAGCCACCACACGATGGTAAGTTTTAATAATTAGTCAATTTAGTTAGTTATTATAAGTTTTATAATATAAAGTTATCTATTTGGTTTATAAAAAATGTGTAAAAAAAGTTAAAATATTTTTGCTGTTAATTTATTTAATAGCAATAAATTAAAAGTAACTTAAAGTACAGAAATAAAATTTTAAATATGTACCAGCAAGTTTATAGTTATTTAATTAGTATATTTTACTAGCAATTATGGGCTAATAATTTTAATGCTATCGATTCATTAATTGAGTTAAATATACTTTTAAAATTAGCTAGCTTGTAATAAAAAATAAATCTATTTAAAGTTATAAAATTTAAATTACAAATATTTTTAATAACAATTTATTATAATCATGCAGGTATAAAATGGACTCCAACCCTCGTGGTAAAGCTGTCATATTTGTCCAGGATATAAAATACACCACCGAACCTATAGTGGTTGACCTGGGCAACGAGGGATTAAGATTCAAGCACATTTTCAATCAGCTTGGTTACGACACCCAGGTCCACATGCGAAAATCTTCCACAGAAATAATGAGCACACTAAATGAGTATGCTACTTCCGAGCACCCTGGTGACTCATTCATCGTGATGTTCACTGGGCACGGATTTAATGGTAATATTTGTGGCAATGACAATTACGAACACGATGTCTTACCCATACAAAATGTACTGGATCTGTTTTCTGAGAAAAATTGCTTGGCATTACAGAGCAAGCCTAAAGTGTTCCTGTTCAATTGTTGCCGAGAAAGTATGTAATTAATTGGTAATTCAATATTGGGTTTAAATTATTTTTATTATATTAGAGTCAAATCAAAGCACCGTGGTCAAAATTGTGGATGGTACATGGAAAAATAAAAATAAGCGCACGTTTATTACGTACAGTTGTGCTCGGGGTATATTAATATTATAATTATAAAATTATGACTTAGTACTATATTTTAATTAATAACCGTTGTAATTGATCTAGGTTATGCAGCGTATTGCAACGGAATTGAAATGTATACGTACTTTGGGCGGGCCTTAAGTCATACCCCAGCTCAATTTGCCAGCTATAAGAGCCTGGATGAGATCATTAAAAAGGTATTGAAGTGCTATATTTATTAAAGTATTTTACATTTAGTGTTGAATTTAAAAATTAAGTTATGTTTTAATAGACAACCGCGCGATTGGAAAGTGATTTGGCGGTCGTGAGGGAAATGGAGCCCACGGATGACAACCAACACAACCCGGAGTTTCAAACGTTTGGCGTCCAAAAGGATTTGTATTTTAACCCGGGTCTTTAAATTTTATGATCTTAAATTTGTCTTAAATATTAATTTTATTTATAAACAACTATTTGTATCTTGAATCTGAATCTCACATGTTACTTTTGTATTTTTATAAAACACAGTAAAACTTATAAATTAGTATTATTTTTAATGTAATCATATACTATATAATATAGTTTAAGTTTTTATTTGTAATCCCAGAGTTAGATTTTAGTTAAATCAATGCAAATAAATGATTTTGTATATTTAAAAATTTTATTTAAAACATTTATTAACCAAATAATCATACGTGAATATATAATCGTATGTAACAAACCTTTTAAGAAATAGTTTATTAATAAATGTTAACGCTAGTTGTTGATTAATTTTTATTGTATGATTAAAACTATTATTAAATTCACTAATAATATCAGTTGTGGTTAAGCCTTCATTTGTATCATAATTTGCAATTAAATCAATTTCTCAATGCTTTTAACATTAATGCCTAACATATTTAAAACGTCCAACCTAAACAAAAAATCACCATTGTAATTGATATTCATAAATCATTGAACATTTCAATAAGTACGTACACAAAATATTTTCAAAAATAACCTTCTTAACTATCAAATATAAATAGTATTTATTATAAATTTATATTGGATATTATATCACCCGGCTTGTATATACTTAATAGATTGTTCATAATTGTATAATTTATTAACACTAACCTTTTTAAACACGATTCAAATAGCATTTGAGCAATGTGCCTGATACGATTAATTTCATATTTATTCGGGCAATTAACTTTGCAGCCGTGATGATACACATCCTGTCCAGGGTCATTCAATTATATATACTGTCCATCAATGGGCCTAGTTAAAATAATTATATCCTCCAACTCAAGCACCCCGTGCCTAAACTCCTGTTCCCCACCACCACTACCGCCCGATTCGTGTATATACTTAACATATGTTAATAAGTCTGACATTAATTCATAGGATATGTAGTAATCCAATGATACCATAGCCAGTGAATCTTCATTTTCAAATATATCTCGCTTATTATCACAAATATTCGCCATGATTAATTGAAAATACTCCATTTGCATAAACATATAATTATTTTCTATCCAAACATTGTTGTATTGAACAAAGTATTTATCAAGGTGTTTTGTTAGAAAGTTATGCACTTTACGTATGCGAGCAATATACTGTGACATGTAATCTATATTATCTGAAACTATATTATAAAATTTATTATTAATTAATTTTTAAAGTAAATTACGATGACATTATTAATTTATGGCACGTTAAGTTTTTGTATTTATCGTAAATATTACCTGTTAACTTTTCCTTTAAAATGGTATACTTTTTATTATCAATATTATTTTTGACAGTTAATAATAGCCTTGTTGGATAACTTTCAGCATCGTCATTTTCATTAGATCCATACCAACCTTCATAGATAGTGCCAATGATTTTAAAACACGATTCCGATATTAAACAATCGCCTAGTACATAATATATTATATTTTAAACTTAAACTGCCTATTTATATTAATTTGGACTTACTTGCGGAATTTTGTAAAATATTACACTTTGGTTTACTTAAATAATATTTTTCCAACAAATATTCACTTTTGTACAGCAAAATATTGTCAAGCAAGGTAACATTATGAAAAGTATCATCAAGTTCAATAGACAGGTTATTTAATTTTGTCAATATCTCTGTACATTCTGGTCTATCCCTCAAATTGGTATTTGAATACTCGTTAAGGCACATTGAAATTAAAATTACATTGATACTATCCAATATATTTTTTAATTCAGTATCATCAGTGGCGGGTGTTTGTTGTCTAGGTTAAAAATTTAAGATAATATTCATAATTATTACAATATTTGAAATAATTCTTGATTAATTATATAGAGTATTTGGCAAATGAACAACATACTTTCCCATAACAATTAACTTCTTATCAAAATTAAATAAATGGACACCGATAATACCAAGGCTATAAATGTCGATTTTATAATTATATTCATTGCCAATAGCTTCCGGTGCCATGTAGCCAACATCACCAACATCGGATGTTTGACTAACATGGGACATTTTATATGACTCTATGTTATCGTACAATTTAGCCAGGCCAAAATCACATAACTTTATAAATGCTTTATCATGGGTGAATTTTCCTTATAAAAATGTTAACATATTCAAATTAGTAAGCTTTTATTTTAATATTTACTAAGTCCAAAGTGCTAGGACTTAACTTTTTAAACATATATTAATTAAAATTAAAGCTATAAATCGTAACTTAACTAGCAAACTTTTCTAAAGTTTCAACAGCTTACCAAATATTTCAATTTGTTTTACAGCATAAATGTACTGGGTGTTTCTGTCTTTAACTTTAACTTTATATACTGTTCCATAGGCACCTGACTAGGAACCTCAGTTTCAGGTAGTTTAGGGAAATTACCTTTTTTAACTTATTTTTTACTAATTTTTATTTTTGAAATTATTATACTAATTTTAAAGGGGCAATAAATGAATTAATTCTTATTGAATGATATATGAATTATTCTATCTAGGGTTTACCTGCTCAGAGTTTTTTACTCATTTTGCTACCTGAAACTGAGGTTCCTACACCTGACCCTATATTTTGTTGGACTTCAAATGTTTTAGCAAACTCAATATTGTCTATGACAGACAGTGTGACCAACCGTCCTTTATTGGAGAGGACAGTCCTCTATTTAGGGTATCTGTCCTCTGAGTTTTAAAAGAGAAATAGTGGACAGTGAATGTCCTTTATTTCTAAAAATATAAAATTCCTTATTTATAAAAATAATTGCAGTATAAAACTGTTATTTAAACTGCATTTCACATTATAATCATAATAAAATATATTATCACATAACTAAATTATATTAGTGTAGAATATTTATAGGAAAATATCCACAAAATTAATGACTAAACTAGTCAAAAATTTCTGCCGTTAGTGAGATCAGCAGAAAAAATATTTTCAAAAAATTGTAATTCAATTCCACTATAAAATATGTTGTCCACTATTTGTCCTCTATTTATGTAATTATTTTTTCATAATGTCCAATAATTACAAAACTTGAGTTGGTCACACTGATGACAGATAAAATTTAAAATTTATTATTTTTACATTCATTATATCATATGAGACGCCAAGTGTTGAAAGGTTCTTCTGTATTGTAGTTCAGACTGTAATCCATTCAGTATTTGGTTTTAATGTAATAATGAAATAAAGTATGAGTATAACATTAAGCCTAATATTGCATTGATTACAGTTTGAAATATAATACAGGAGTACCTTTTACATCTTAGCGTCTCATATGGTGCACAACATGCAAAAGCAAGACATTTTTTTGCAATGAAAACTGTATACATAACCTAATTAATACTTTTCATAACTAAGAAACATTACATTATGCAATGATTTACAATCTATTATACAGTTTGTGAACTAAACTGAACGACTGATTGACTGATGAAGTTTTCGCAAAACTTTGCGCACTATTTATACCCAGTTTGTTGTTTATCCAAAAAAAATCATAACTGGATCACACAGCTAGCAAATAGGATCCCGGTAATGGATGACCTAACAGTTGTTTAATATTACTTAATAGAGTTTTAATGGGATGTATGGGACATGTAATTCATTCGTGACTTTATTGTGAGATGAAGTGCAAAATAAGATTAAAATCTGCTTGCTATATTTAGTATAATAAAACATAAAACATTATTTTGTATTTATTTATCTTATTGTTATTATCTGATTGATTGTAATATTTGTACTTGTTTAGATGTGCCTAAAGTACGATAATATGGATCATGGTATAAGTTTTGATAAACAACTTGAAACGGAAATTAACTAGTACACAAGCAAATTAATTAATCATAAACAGCAAACAAACAAAATTACCAATAACACTTTATTACCAATTTTATACTCTATATGTAATGTCAATACTGTATTTTTTGTAATAAATAAATGTGATTTATTTTAGATTGATACTTTTACTTTATTATAAATATAAATTATTAGAAAAGTTATCATTGACTTTTGAGACACTATTTCCAATATAAATGGCCATGATAGTAATCTAAATCCTAAAGGCACTTAATAGTAATATATTTTATTATAACTTTCCCCTAATCTATTGTACATTTGTGAAATATACCAATCGACCAATTGTGTTTAGTATCTGATAATGTGTATTATAGTCCCAGATTCATCAAGGTTTTATATCTACGTAAATTTAATCCCAATGTTTTATTATAAAGATCTGTTAAGGACTAATTTAGAGAGGGATAAGCTTAATTTTATAGACATTTAAAATCTTACAACAAAATATATGATATGTTATTTACACAACATTTATTAAAATAGAAAATACAATTTTAGTAATAATTAATTAAATAGGATTTTGTTGAATTTTAATTTAAAATAATTTATAATTTAAAATTAAAGATATAAATGATGTTGATTATATAATGAATTTTTATAATACCATATTTGATAATACATTGGAAAAGTTGAAAATAATTTTCATTAATATTTTATTATTTAATAATAAATTGATTTTGCAAAAATATAATTTGATACTACACTGATACTACACAATTGTTTATTATTTTTGGCAAAATATTATTTGACAAGCGTTTTATATTACATTTACAGTAAACTAAACATTATATTAAATATTTTTCTAGTTCAATATTTGCAAATGAATTGAAACTGTGAAATATAAAATTTATTAAAATTATTTTAATGGTAATGCTAGATATCATGATAAGTATTTGAAATAAAATACACATTTCATAACACCTATAACATACTGTAAAACTTGATTTACATACAAAGTATGTGTATATTAATTTTGCAAAAATATATTTCAATTCAAGGAATATTTAAACTTTTGTATTGCATATTGGTGCAAATTTAATTTTATTTGGTAACATATAATAAATCTACAAACATAACCAATAACAAATATATTAGCTATAACAAATGAAATTTTAAAAATTTAATAAACAACATATTTTTGTAATCATTCCCATGTAACCTACCATTGTATTAATA